CATACGTATTCTGGCTCCTCTCGACGTTAACGATGCCGAACTTCTCGCAGGCATCCAGAAACTGCAACAAAAGTTGATCGTGAGGATGAGTTGTCGTGACAAGTATGGTTGATCGTATTCGTGATTTTAATGACGCGCAGAACTGCGCGCGCGGGATACCTCGGCAAGTATTCGCGACTTTTAGCGTTAATTAATCGATTTATCACATTGAACATTCATTTAAGTTGGAACATCTTGTTATTTCGTTGGATATCTTATGAAACGCTTTACACGAATATTTTATCAAATTCATGCAGGGCTTTTTTAACCAGTAGGTATGCATACTGGTGTGCCGCAAAGAGTGTGCCGCAAAAATTTTAGGGAAAGTAAAAAGAAGAAAAAATATTTAAGTATGTAAATAAAAAAGTAAGTGAGACACGAAGTAAAAAAATCTCTTCAAAATTGTGAAAAAATTATTTAAATTATATTGTGTTTAAATTTTATATTGAATTTATTCTGATTTTAATTAAAACGATACTGCCTCTATAAAATCACTTCTATATTACGGGTCAGGTTTTTAAGATATATATTTATTATACTTTAAAAATATGTAAAAAAAATCGATTTTTTTACCATCTCTAGGTGTATATGCCCCCTTAATGCTTTATAGAATATTGTATAAATGTATCCTATCCTTAAGATCTTTTTCCGTAAACTTCAATGATTATAAATAATCAGGGTTAGCAAACCTTACTTTTCAGTTACTTTACCGTTACTTTTTATAATAAATAATTTGATGACGTTGTTGCAATTTTTTATGACGCTAACTAACTAAATGCTAAGGTTGTGCTTAAGTTAGAAGAGTCACTTTCGAAAGTAACTTGTTACCATTACGCGTTATTACTGAAAAAAGTAATAAGTAACGAGTAACACGTAACAAGTAAAAAGTAAAAGCAACAAGTAAAAAGTAACGCGTTACAAATTAGGAGTTACTATTTTTCAGTAACGAATGACTTTTTCAATCTGTTACAAGTAATGTTTGACTTTTCTAACTCTGATGTTACCATCATAAAAAATTCACAATGTCATTATCAAATAGTTATTATAACAAGGTAACGATCAACAAAGTAATGGCGTTACAAGTAACGCATTACTTGCCAACCCTGTAAACAATTATAATTATGAGTAATTGTGATTCCACAATTACATAACTCTTGAATTATTTTTATTAAATTATTAAATTAATTACATTTTTAAGTTGTGTGATCTACGTCCAACTCTATATTCAACTTATAATTTTACCTAACTAATAATTGTGAGAGTAATCGTATGCAATTACAATTATAATTGTAACTGAATTGAATTAATTGCGACTCAACAATTACTTTAATTGCAAATATTTTAATGACAATTATTTTAATTGCAATTACAGTATAATTGCGTCCCTAACAATTACTTTAATTGCAATTGTTTTAATTGTAATTACAGCGTAATTGTAGCTATATTGTAATTGCAATTAAAGTAATTACAATTGTAATTAATTACATTTACGAATCAATTATGCCCAATTCTGTTTAATGTGATAAAGGTTAAAAAATGCTGACATAGAACAGATACAAAATTAAATTCGTTAAATCACGTGGAAAACTTGGAAATTGTTGACACAATTTTCATGGCGTGCAAGACACTCTTTAAAATAAACAAAAAATATTAATACGAATCCAGAAATTATCGCAAAAAAATTAAAAAATAATAACCCATTATAATCCGTGTGCATCGACAGAGAAAAAGAGTGAGAAACATGTCTGATAGATTAAAAGTAATTCATATCAAACAAAATCAAATCAAAAATAATAAACGCAAATGAGCGTGTCTCTAATTCATAATAAATTCGAGTGGTTCAGTCAGCTATCGATTCTGCGGATCGTTAATGGAAAATTTCGCTGTTGATTTTGGTTTCGCGGATGATTCGCGCGCTGGTATTCTGAACACTGTAAACATTAGTTACGCTTAATGACTGAACGCAATCGCGCCATTCGAGCAGCGCGGCATCGCGATGCACGCGCATATAACGAAAAACGGGGGAGGCATTAAAGTTTGTCGCCGTAAAGCCAGGCCATTAGTTAAAAGGTTTTACGGTTTTATTGGTCGCGCCTAACGGCTCCGACCGGGAATTTATCGAGCGGATATGACATAGGGGGTGGTGCGTTATACGTACTAATATTCCGCCGCGCGCGTCTTTCCTGGGAGGGAGGGGCGCAAGATAGAAAGCCGGTGCGAAGAGAGAAAGGGGATGAAACCAGGAGGCTGCAGGCAGATAATTTTAACGGGTCGTGAGATGATATACGAATTGAATCTCTCTCTTTTTTTTATCCTCGCGAAAAAAAAGCGCCTATGCGAAAGCGATACGTTGCGCTGTTTTTCCCGTCGACCGAATTTTCGGGGTGTTTCTTCGTGCCACTTTGTAAAACAAACGACGCGTATCGCGTTACCGATTGCACGTTATATGATGGGAGCCTAAGCAGAAAGCGGTTTTCAACAGCAATTTTCCACGGTAACATGTTACAACTTTTCGTAAATACGATCCACGTACGTGACTTCAATTTTGTAGACTTGTGCGAAGTACGATAAAACAAAAACCTTATTACAAGGCGTACTATCGGACGCTTTATCTGAATTGAGTTTGTATTAAATAAAAATATACAAAAAAAAGATTACATTTTCAGATATATGTAAGATGGGTTGCTAACGATTGCTTGCTTCCTTTTCGTTTCAAATCGACAGATTAAAATGTAACATAGCTTTATTCTAAAGGCAACATATCTTCTGCTTAATTCTCGACTTTCACAGTCATAGAAAAATTTCCGAATCCAATGCTATTACTTTTCGATTTATCGTAGAATAGGATCGATATAGAGACAATCATATTTATTGTTGAAAGGAGAATATGTTATTCTTAAATGGAAAAATCTTAAATCTAGAATAAAAATGATCAAGCACATCGGTTTCGCGCCAAATACTATATATAGCGCCAGCATTATACGATTATAATATCGGATAAAGATTTATACTTTTGAGGCTTTCACGGGTGTTTTCTTCAAAAGTGCCAAAGGGTTTGCGGATTATCGTCGTGTCGTGATCCATTGCTAAAAGCATCAGTAATGGATCACGACATAGCGATAGCCCGCAAATCCCTTAGGTAAAGATTTAATCTACAAAAAAGAATATATAAACTTAAATTTATACATGTTATTCCTGTTTCAAGATTATGAATCAATCTTATTTAATTCAATGGAGAACAATAAGAAATATTTATCTAATTTTAATAATATATTATTTTTATACTATATAGGATTATGATAAGATTAAACACGTCAAAAACATTTTTTGTCTCGTTACTAGAAATCCTTTTTGAGAGGACAACAACGGGTCATTTGGATTTGAAGCAAAAATTTTAGATGATTGAAAACGTTTACACGATACTAATCTGCGCAATTACTATTATGAACCTGTACAATTATTATTACGAGGTTCTAAATTATAAGTACATGGAAGAAATAGATAGGATGATTCAGTAAAGTTATAGCTTGCTGCGTGAGTTGAACATTTATAAAACGATTTGATGGTTTAACAAAGAAGTCATGTCTGAGCAATTATCAGTATGTTACCTGAGCTAATTCTTTGCTATGAAAATTGCTAATACAACAAGTTTTCTTTAATGCAGTAACAGAGTATACGTCATCTTAGTTATAGCATAGTTTCATTAAAAATTTTGATCTATATAATGATTTTCATAGAAAGTTATTTTTGTTGTATTAATTTGCTGTATTAATTTATTGTGTTATTACATTACAACAAATATAATTATCTAATCTATAATCGCTAATTTTATTCTACTTCTACAACTTTACTACTTTAACATAGAAAACTAGCTGTCTGTATATTACGGTTGTAGATTTGTTAAATCAGTGAAGTTTTTAGTTATTTTAACAGATATTTTTTTCTCATGTAAAACATTGGTTAACTTAAACGTATGTTTGCATTTCGAATCATTAGTGGGACAAGTACCTCGCTTGCACATACTGAAAATAAATTCAATTACATCGCCGCGCCGGTTAAGTTGGCGAAGAAACTGGAATTCAAATTCTACGCGGCGGTAATAAAATTTCCGCTTACGCATCGGAACGATTATTAAATTTGCGAACGCGCTTTGCTATACGAGCGCTACAGCACGCTCGCTCGTGCGAAATAGGCCACGCGTTTTCCGCAGGGGTTAACGTCGGGCTCCACAACGATGATTGCGAAAGTCCGACACCGACTACGAGAACTGGCTGCCGTACGCCACCGTCGTCGACGAGTCCTCAGCTCCCTCGGGCGTGCTGCTCGACGTTGTGAGACGAAGCGAGGCGAGGCGAGGCGAGTCCGGCGCATTCCCTCATTCCCTTTCGCTCTCCCTCTGAGTTTATTACAGGATACGGGAGTGGATAACTTAATGGAAAACTGCGAATTACAAAGCGCCTCGGCGCCGATATTCCACCTCGTCTCTCTTCGCCTCGCTTCGTCTCGCAGGCAAGGGGACCACTTCATCCGAGCTCTCTTCATTTACGTGAAACACCGGCACTTGTACATCTTTTATCCACCGTGCAACCAACTGCATCTCAACGATAGCGGCCGTTGCAGCCCGGTCTTGATGCTGCAGCTCGTGTCGCGTCGTAAAGGAGATCGAAACGACGACCGACGACGATTCTTAATAAATCCTTTGAGTGGAAAACAACTCCCTCTTTTATAGTCTGTTTATTATCCGTTTTCTTTCGTGCGACTGTCAGACGTGATAGCAAAAACGAATTTAGAAGAGACCTTTTTTTTTTTCATTTCTTTTTTCATTCTCCTAATCTATTTTTTCCATACCGTCTTTTTCCAGATACCGTCTGTATATATATTTTGCGACAGAATAAATAATTTAATCGATGCCGATTGAAAATCGATAGAGAGGCGGAATGTTCATATAAACACAAAAAAAATTTACAGTACCTACGTGAAGTTAGGAAATAAACTGCAGCTCAGGGTTTGTGGACTTCACTCTTCACTGAGAAAAATTTCTAGTTGAAAATGGACAGTAGATTCTAACCATATCAATTAGAATTCTAATCGAGATGTTCGATTATGAGGACTAGAATTTTGATCAGAATCTACTGGTTCGTTCATTTTCAACGTGAAATCTTTCTCAATGTTGAAATAGAAAGCAACGTACACTAAGGTAATCAACTCCTTTGTAAGAAGGGAAACTTTTAACAAATAAATATTTTTTTTATAACTGTTAATGAAACACAAACAATATTACCTATATTATTATATTTGTAAATAACTAATGACGCTTAATGTATAACATGAGAGTACAATTAAAATTAGATCAAGTTATGAAATTACGTATTATTTTTTAAAATTGTACATTTCTATCGAATGTATATAATATTTTATAAATACATTCAATATCTGGGTTTTCAAATTAAAAAATCATGTTAGTTGAAAAAAATATATTTCACATTTATTATTTTCACACTTAAAAAAGGGACAATTTATAATCATATCCTTAATTTGGGATGAAATTTAGAATGCGTTGTAAAGTGGTAAAGAGTTAAAATTTAAAACTGTCCCTCCTAATTTGGAACTGTTAGTCACTTTAACATACGCAGCATAATACAGCAATTATTAACAAGAAGATTGTTGTATGAATCCATGTGGGACCTGTCAGACCGCATTACGCCTTTACTCGATCACCAGTTCGGAAGAAGAAAAGTAAGAAAAGATCTCGCATTTTTTGTCGGAAAGTGCGCTTCGTAAAGATATTAAGTCAAGAGAGATAAAGAGATAGAAAGAAAGCATGTTGTTCTCTACGTAATTCTATCAACGACGGATTTTCCAAGACGGTGGATCAGAAGGGCACGACTCGTCTTGGTTGAAATTTTCCTCCACGGGAGAAAATCCCACGTGGGAAAAGGCGGCAAGAAATTCGATCGTCGGGAGAGACCAGATAAAAATATCTTTCACGGGACATTACCGCGCGCGCTAACGCGTATTAATGACTCACCTGTGGCTGCGGGACGCACGTTAGATCTATAATGTCGCCCAGGAGGTCAGGGTCCACGACCCTGATGCCCGGAAGTATGGTGGAGCCGACCGGAGTGTCCTCCTCGGCGACCGCCTCGTATGGCACACCCAGGAAGTGCGGCGGATTATCGTTCTCATCCAGTACAATCACGTAAGCGTCCACACCGACGATGTTCGGCTGCTGTCCCGCGGGTACCTCGTCCTCCAGAGTCACGCGAAAACGTATCGTATCGTTCTCCTGGAAAAGAAAAACCGTCGGACGCTCGTAAAAATCTTGCAAAGTCGAGCTCAAAGCTTTGACTTTCGGAATTATACCGTAAACTTTATATAAAGAGGGTTTAGATTTAACTTATATAAGAAGGCTGACGCTTAGTGTTCTTAGTTCTAAGTTTAAGATCGTTAATATTTTTGTCCTTAAGCGCGCGAAAGCGTCGTCCAATTTATGCGTTTAAATTAAATATTCAGAGCAAGAGAGCGAGCTAATTTTATAATTCAAGGATAAAATTGTACTTAAAGCGGGTCTTACAAATTATGGATTTAATTCAATTTTTGCCTAAACTCTAACACTTGCCACACTAATTTCAATCATATTCCTTGGAAAGATTAAATTCGAGAGAAGTCGAGATCGTATACAAAATTATACATTATCGATCGCTAAGGTCAATTAAAAAAAAATTTCCTATGTCGATATTGCAAGAAAAAATGCAAAAGACAGTAATATATTGCTCTATAATAGTTGCTTTCCATTTATACAGATTCTCAGATAATTCTCACTTGTGACGTCATAACTCAGTTGAATACTTGTTCCTTTTGCATTCTAATAAGTGAGATTTAACTGAGTTTTTGCTTATAATCTGCACAAGATCGAGACCGTGTGCTTTAGTGAGTCTCATAAACTCACTTTAGTGAGGTTATGAACCCGTGTTGTTATGTGATAACTTTTTATCAAAGTAAGGAAATAATGACGCCATTAATCTGAGTATGAAATACTCAGCTCACTTTCAGACTCAGTTTCACTCGTGTGTAAATGAAAAGCAACTGATATGTCCTACGAAATCACAATTGAGTAATTGATATGCAAAAATAGCTACTTATATCATTAATGTAAAAAAAAATTAGATAAATATTGGAAATTCCTTAGTCCTTCAATTACGAATTAAATGTTTTAAAAATGTGCAAAACAATTACAACTCTTATAAAATCAAGGGAAAAGTAAGTTAAATAAAAAAAGAAATTGAAATCTCTAACTAGCCCCTCTCTCTCTCTCTCTCTCTCTCTCGTTTACTAATTTTTTTATTTTTATTTCCCATTGTATTTTTTTTTTTTAATAAAATCTGTTTTGCCAATTTCTTCTCTGTAATTAGTATTTTATTTTCATTTGAATTTAACATAAAAATAAAAGTAAAAAAGACATTATATTTTTCCAATAAATAACTAAATGTGTTTCATAACATAGTAACTTTTTTTATATTAATAAAATAATAAAAATGCTTCAGAATCATAAAAATCCTGTTTAATTCAGTATTAAACTGTTTTTGCATCTATCTAGAAAAGAAAAACGATGGATACTTCAATTTCGAATTAATAATGTAATTTATAATTTTAGATAATTAATTTTCAATAAATTATTATATCATACAAATAATTTTTTTATTGTTTTCTATCAATATCTTTATAAATACTTAATAAAATAATTTCTGACTGTAAGTCGTTATCTATATCTTTGAGTGACTGAATCCTTACAGAAATTCGTTTAAAAGCGACAAGGCAAAGTATTAAATATCCTTTGCAATCGTTCAGATCTTAATACATGTATTTTGTATCTAGTAGGTACCTTTGACATCGCACACACGCACGTGTGCCAGGACACGTGCGATCTCAAACGTGCACTGAGATCAGGAGCTTCCTTCTCGCGACCGGAATTTTACTGTATCCCTTACGAAGCCTAGGAAGGCATACGGATCTCGGACGTGCCTCGATTCATACGTGAGGGAGCATCCGTTTTACGAGATCGATCATTTGCGAAAGTCTTCGCAAGTCCATTCTAGGACCATCTCGAGGAGTTTTCTTCTCTCGACGCGAAGGAAAGTCGGAGTTGTCGTAGCAAGTGTGGTAAACGCCTGGCTTTATTGGTGGATTTGTGGATGGAAGCTCCTCTGTATAGGAAGAAAGGAACAAATCCGCCTCTCCCGGATTTCGAGACGCGCGTGTTCTTCCTCTTTGTTGTTACAAGAAATTCGACCGTGTTTGATGAATGCATTTTTTATTACACGTATTGTTACGTACGTTACATAGAAATGTGCCGAGCGTTTGCCCCTCGATGGATAAATTCGTTTTATGTTGGAATATTCCCAAGTTTACGAATATACAGTCGAGTACAGAGACTTTCATTTGAGAAGAGGCGAACGAGCCAAGTCCTAATATTGAAAAAACAGTTCCAAGTCTGTATCTTTAAACGACTTTTTAAAAGTTTCGTAGACAGTTTCAGATCTCTGCAAAGTTTGTCGAAAAATGACAAGAAGAAAGGCAGCTTCAAAAACGAGGTGTTTCTTCGTAAAATAATAGAAAGGTACGTTTTTGTTCTAATTGATTCTGATAAATTAATATATAATAATTAAAGAAACAAATATTATTTTTATTATAATCTTATGTTTTAAACGGACAATGAAAATAATGCAAAATCAAGAAATACAGCAATTTTGCTGAAAATCTCGAAATACTCGAAAATAGTTCAGCGAGAAAAAAAATACAAAGGCTGTGAAACGTCGTTTCGAGTAGACACCGTTTCCATGGAAGTTTGAAAAAGACGGAAAAGTGGGTAGCACCGAGGGTTTAGTAGCAACTAACGAGGTCGAGGGTGGAAAGATGGCACTCAAAGTTCTTGTCAAGTGTGTACGTGTACCCAATTGCGCATGCATTAGAATATATACATATTTACGCGGTAGATAGTCTCCCAAAGGCGTCATAGCAATGGAGAACAATAATAATGGCGATACATCTGATGGCGAAGTTAAATTTACTTCTAACATATTACAGTGCAAATGCAGATACGAATTCTCTTGTCGAAATCGACCGCGCTCTTGGTCGTTACGAAAATTTAAATAAACGAAGAATCTTTTACTTAAAATTACAAAAGAAAATCATTTGCAGCTAGATAATTTGCCGCATGAACTGCATTTATGTTTTATATTTATTATGAAAGATCAAGTTTAGGCGACCTGATTCGTATTTATAATTTTATGTTTACGCAAGAATGAAAAACATTTGAAGTATCAAAATACGCACGTGTTTGTAAAATATAATATATTAAAATTTATCTCTACAGAAAAATATACGTGTATTATAAATACTATGTATAAAAACACATTACGTGTAATTATAAAAAGAACTCACGAAATTGGACGCGAACAGATCGCGATTACAGATCGTTCAAAGAGGCTTACAACGCAATCAGGCGGAAATAGTTCCATTACTTAATTATGAGAAGCTGCACGTTGAATAAACATCGTAAACATCTGCAATAATGTGGCGGAGTGATTAACAACGGCGTGCGAGTCGTAACGCATTATAACGCGCTTGATAATATACTGTAACGTAGCATCGGCATTATCATACTCGCCGTGTTTCCAGTAATTACAACGTCAAACGTTGAAAATTTCCAGCGAGGCGGATAATGACGTACGCGGAATAATCGCATAGACAGAATACACTGTTAGATACCAAAGGAGCAATAATAAACCAATCCCTTGAATTATAACCAATATTTTGTTATTTTTAACTTCTATATTATTTATGTGTATCACGCAATATTTTTATAATTAGCTTTAAAGCTTAAAAACATCATATATCTATATTAACATATTACGCATTTAGTAAATAATAGTCGAATTTACTACATTTTCCTGAGATAAATTGTTTAATTCCATTGTTTTAATTAAATTAAAGACACATTGAATAGGAATAGTAACGACCTAAAAAAATGATTAAAAATAACTCAAATTGAGTACAATTTGATATTATAAATTTAACAGTGTAGACAGAATTCACTAATAGATATCAAAGGAGCAATAGTAACCCAATTCCTTGAGTTAAAAATAACATTTGACATTTTGTTATTTTTAACTTCTATATAAAGGAGACCAGGTCACCATGAGTCATAAAAATTAAAACTCTTAAAAGTACACCAAAATGTAAATCAGTGACTATATTTCTGAGATTAGTTTCAAACAATGTCCATATTAGCATATGGTTTTAGTAAATAATAAAGTAAATTTCAGTAAAATTTACTTGGGATAAATTATTTAATTTCATTGTTTTAGTTAAATTAATGACATATTGAGTAGCAGCAGTGATAGAGAGAGAGAGAGAGAGAGAGAGAGAGAATATAAAAATGGTTAAAAATAATTAAAAAATTAGGTATGATTTGTGATAATATTAATTTAACGTGTATATATATATATGTATATTATTAAAAATTTAAAGTGTAATGTCGCGAAATCGTCACTGAACGACACGGAATAAAAAATGATAAAGAAAAGATGAGACACACCGATTTATTTCTGTTTGCAATCGTATCAATTTTGCGGAAACTCGACGCACAGTGCGTAACGTGTGGGGTACACACGCACGTAACATTTGCACGCCGTAATTTCAACTTTCTAACTAACCGCGCCACTTCCTCTGCGTGAGTTCCGAACTCAATCAAGGTATTCCGCTGGAGGTGGAACAATAATTCGACATCCGTTTGTGGAAGGAGTAAGAGTAATAATAACTGACACATTCAAATTCGCGCCTTACAAAATTAGATGTGGTATCTACAGAATAACAATGCATCGCGATTCAATGTTTAATAAGGAACAAGTAAAAATAAACGGGAAATAAAATCAGATTTACCAGGACGAAATTATAATGCTCCATTTCTGTCATATCATTTTTCAGTAACGAACTTCTCGACCGTTTCATAAATTATATAATTGTTTCTAATAAAGTTATGTCAGATGTCTCATTTCAGTGCAACAATAAAAAACTGTATCTGTTAATAGATTCGTTAAAACATCCAAGAGTACACATATTCCAAGAGCTTAATATCCTTTTTTCAGAAGAGACCGAATTATATCTTCCAAATTTAGCGTAGAATCGGGACACCGCATCTTTGTGATTCTAGTAAGATCCATTTTGATCTTAAATTTTATGAAAGACAAGAAATTAAACTTCTCGATTTTTACGCCGAATCTGAAT